GCGTCGAGTAGCCTCCGCCAGTCAGCCCGATTAGTTGCTTTCTGACGCCAGTTGGTAGTACCGAGCGCCCCCAAATCGTTTGTCACCTGGTCCTTCCACCGAAGATACGGACGTCCTCTACCGCGTTTTCCACCTGCGGGTACCGAATCAAATACCTTTCTAGCCGGAGCACTTTCTTCCATTCGCATGACATGACCTAGCCAGCGTAGCCGCTGAATTTTTATGCGCTTAACTATGTCAATGTCGCGGTATAGCTCATATAGCTCTTCGTTCCATTTAATTCGATACTCGTCGCCAACGCGTAAGGAACCATAGATCTTCCGAAGAATTTCCGAAGAATCTCTCGAATGCTCCTAACGCCTTCTCATCACTGTTGGTAATTGTCCAAGCTTCTGCACCACACAGCAGGACAGGTATGATAAGGGATTTGTAGAGCGTGATTTTTATTTGTCGAGAGCGGGCTTTATTTCTCAATTGCTTACTTAGCCCAAAGTAACATTTGTTGGCAAGAGTAATTCTTCGTTGAATCTCTAGGCTGACGTCATTTTTGGTGTTTAAGTTGGTTCCTAAATAAACAAAGTCTTTCACAACTTCGAACTTATAATTGTCAATAGTGACGTAGGTCCTAAGACGCTCAGGAGATTTGTTTGTTGACAGAAAGTACTTTGTTTTGTCCTCATTTACCACAAGACCCATTTGCTTTGCTTGTTTTTCTAAGTTGGAAAATGCCGCACTGACGACGTGGGTGTTCAGACCAATGATATCAATATCGTCGGCATACGCAAGCAGCATTACACTTTTGTAGAATATTGTGCCAGTACGGTTTAAATCTGCTGCTCGAATTATCGTTTCCAACATTAGGTTAAAGTAGTCACACGACAAGGAGTCACCCTGTCTGAAACCTTGTTTGGTATCAAACGGCTCGGAGAGGTTCTTTCCAATTCATTTCCAATTCATTCATTTCCAATGTCATTTAAAACACAAAAAAATATTACTTTAGTGTCAGATACAAACTGAAGTGTGCATTGTAAAACTGACCCTTACTTGTATGGCTATAACAACCCGTTTTCAGATTTCGGTCTAATGCAGCATGTCTCGTAGATCAATTCCGGTTAGCGCTCCCTCAACTTGATCACTCCACCGGAGACGCAGTCCACCTCTATGCCTTCTTACTCCGACTACTGCTTCACTGAATATTGTTTCGCTGAATTATATCGAAGAATCATTCTCATGCCAACTCGTAGAAGACTAAAAATCTTACGGAAACTCCTAGTACTGCTTCTTCATTCTGTAATAACGTCCATGCCTATACGCCATACTTAAGCATAAAAAGGATGAGTAACCTATAGAGCGTAAGTTTTGTTTGTCGAGAAAGAGAACTCACTTACCCACTGAGCCCATAGTAGCATCTATTAGTAATGGTGATCATCTGATCTCAAGGCTGACATCGTTGTTATTTGTCATGGTGGTGCCACTGTTAATGAAAACCTTGACAGATTCCAAAATATAGTCGCCAACCACTAGCTTAGCATCCGAGCAATACACATTTTTACCAGTAGCCGACATATACTTCGTTTTGTCCTCATTCTGTGCTAAGCCCATTCCTGCAAAATCAACTGTAACATCACGCTTGCTACGCCCAATGATGTCATTGTCATCGGCGTAAGCAAGAGAGGAGGGCAGTCTATAATCTATAAAAAAGTGGTGAGTGTTCGTCGGCTTATTGTAGAATTTGTCGCAGTGTGAATATCTGGTCAATGGTGGAACGACCAGATTGAAAGCCGTACTGATAAGGCCGAATCAGTGAGTGGTTTCAACCTTTCTCACAGTACAGTTGAAAGAACTTTGTACACGATAGGTATTAGGCTGATCCCGCGATAGTTGGCGCAAGTCGTCGGGTCGCCTTTTTTCAAAACAGGACAAAAAAGTACTTAAATTCCAATCGCTGGGCACACTTTCATCCGAACGACAATTTATTTGTAGAACTGAAATCTTAACATTCTTATTCCTCTTTCTCTACCAAAAGCCATTTAAAGTTATTTTCCGTTAACATCAATGTCGTGCCATAATAACTACTATATAGACTTAATATATTTAACTGCAAATAAGCATTCTTGTTACTTTTTAATATCTCAAATGCTTGATGCATTTTAGTTTAACTATCTGTAAGTCCTTTAGTAACGCCTATTTATATTTGATACATTTTAAGACAAAATAATGGATTTAAATTCCACTAAGACAACAATTAAGAAATAAGTAGATGATAGTGTTTTTAAATATAAGATACCATATCTCTTGGCTAGTACGTGATTTCCCCGTAATGTCAAATCTATGTGCAGATCATTACAAAGCAGTTGTAATTAAGAGAAACTAATATCTGAAACTTCAAATAACATTCCCTATTATATTAGGTAATATAAAAAGTACCGACGGTTTTTTGTCACTAGATGGTGTTGGTACCCATATATGTTGCACCACTAATCTGATTGTGTCAAACGAAAAGTAACATTTCCCGACACATTTTTCTTTTATGGCAGTGGTGTGGTTCGTTGCTTGTGTAAAAAGTAATATTGATTTGATAATTAGTGAAATATCTGAAGAAATACTACTAATTACTATAATAGTTGAATTTAAAATAAGGTACATTGACATTTTATAAATAAAACAAGTGTCGATTAATTAACTTACCTTCTACAACATAAAATTTTATATAGCAAATGTTTGAAATAATAATTTCGGAATTCTTATTCTTTAATCGTAATAAGCAGTGTTACTATGAAATCCGTAAAGTAAAATATTACCACTATGACTTCAATGCAACTTATGCAGATCGTAAAACATACTTAAAGTACCGACTGCAAACGAATGTAGCGCCAATAAACTAGCAATCACTTACAGTCATAAATTTGCTTAGAAACGAACTTTATTCTGCACAACATTCAAAAGTTTTTAGAGAATATATCTTCACTATAAACGCAACTGATTTTTTCCCACTGCCATTGTATATGTAGTATCAGTTAAAAAAGGAATCTTTAATTATTGTTAATGATTTGCTGTTAATTTCAGACGTAGTTTGTGGTTCTGCCTCTATTTTAATTATTTAATTTAAGTGATCATATTTTCTTATTTCTTCAGGAATATTCAATTAGTTCGGTATGTTTCGTATGCACCCCAGGTTTGTGCTCACTCAAATTATGCATTATGTTCAAGCAACTCCATGTCCACATATACACTATAAGATGCTTTCATTGTCAATTAAAAATGTTACTCATAATGTACGAAAATATTACATAGGATTTCAATCCTGCTAAACTTATTTAAGAGTTCGGGTGAATTTAGCTATATTAGACGGCTTCATGATAAAATCCCAAGGCCTCACTAAAAAGGCACTGATCTGGCCAAGTGTATAACTTTAGGAATACAGAAATAAGAATCCATTGCATCCTATCATCAGAGGCACGATGCAATCGATTTACGGAGGGAAAATGTTTTCAAAATTCACTTGCCCTTGCGTAGAGTAAAATTTTACATAATGCAAGTAAAATATTTTTTAATTTTTATTTTGATAAATAAGTAAAATCTCGCTTAAAGTAAGTACAATATGCCTTAAAATAAATGGGGAATGCTATTACCTCATATAACAACAGAACGCACTTTGTGTTATAGATCAGAGTTGAGAGACAAGTAGCTGCTCTTAAAAAATTCTTCCAGTGAGAAAAGGGTGAAGCTGCAAAAACAATAGGATTGTTTGCGCCCGATTGCAAGGAAACGATATTTGTGACTGTGACCCATAAATACAACCATTACACTATTTTAATGCTATGATTAGAAATATTTACACATATTTTTCTACTATGGATCTCTTAATATACAACCGAGATGAAGCAACAATAAAATGTAGTCAGCTACGAAGAAGAACGTGAAGTAACACGGAAAAGAGATGACTGCAGTTCTTTGATGTATATAGGTTCTAATTAGACCTTGTGCGAGTTGATCTACTTTGCGTTCTAATTGAGGAAAATTCTAAATTGTGCCGATAATGTAGTGAATTATTGTTATTTAGAATATTTTCAACGTGACTAAATCGAGTCTAAATAGAAAATTCGCCAGGGTTGCCACTTCAATATTTTCATACGATTTTTGTAAATATAAAAGTGAATCAAGATATGGGAAATGACTATAAAAATAATTATATTAAAACGTTTTGTTTTATTTGTATTAAAAAAATTAATTATCGTTATCAGAAAACTCTTAACCGAAAAATGAATACTTTTTGCATGTATTTTTTATTATTATATTCGTATTTTCTAAAATTTTTATTACTTTTATTTAAGACTATAAACATTTATTTGATAAAATTTTGTTAAAAAAACTAAATGGTTTTTTTTTCATTGGCTTGGCAATATTGTTTTGGTAAGTTTTGGCGTTTGCATAAATTTCAAAATACATTGCAATACATGTTGATTATCAAAATGCAACTCACACACTTTTTGAACTTTATTGCTAAATGTATAAAAAATCCCATGGAAAATCCCATTTAGTTTAGCATGAAATTAGAACAACTCACACACGTCTTTAATATCAATTTTGATAACTAAGGTTCTTATATGAATAATATTTTAAAGCAAAACTGTCTCCAGATCGATTTTGAACTTTAAAGTTGCTTCGGGCTGAATTTACAATTTCAAGATTGCTTCACAACTTAAAAAGTTTGAATAGTTATGGTCTAGACTTACGCATATTTTCATGTCGAGATGCGAGAGAATAATCGCAGATGAAAAATATGGTTAACATACCTGTAGAATCTTAAAAAACAACTGTCTTTCAACATTTTGGCATTCTAGAAATAGACATGTGTACGTTAAATTATAAATTTGTATATCTGCTACCTTTGGACAGTTTCAAATGTTTGGTTTTTTTTTCCAAATAAGTCCAAATATTTGGGCTTTTATTTGATCAATATTTTATTCTTAAAACAATTTTTTTTATTTCATTTTCAGGTCTGACAGGAGTATATAAAGGTTAAAGGTCCTAATCTCTTGAAAACGCTTCTGGTTCTGAAATGAATTTCAAGGTAAACTAATTTTAACCGTGATTTATTGTAAATCATAAACCAAATTAAAAAATAAAAGGTTTTTTTTTATAATAATCACAAATACAGTTTATTTAATTAACAATTAAAAATCATTTTACTCATTTACTGAGTGACAAACTTACAAAAAAGATGCGCATTGACTACGTATCTCAGTACGCATATTTCCACTCTACTCAAAATAGCTTTACTATAATATAGAAAACCGTCTTATCTTTTTCATAACATATGCAATATCTTGAAGGCTTATATTGGGGTAAGTGGGCAGACACTTCAGAAAAGGAGAACCTCAAACTTTTAATTGCGAGTGACTGACGATAACAGTAATCGTTACACGGAGGCTCTATTCAATCGGCATGTCTGTTCTGATACTAAAACGATTATTTACGACAGCCAGAAGTGCTCTGGATCAATTAAATATTTTCTCATGATAAGCAGGTTATGTTATAGGTATGCTTTGCGCCTATTAGTCAGATAAAACAAAAAAGTTGAAAATTCTTAGGTTAATACAAGTACTTTTGCCCCCATTAAACTGGTACGGTTTTTGAACTCTGTGTTTTTTTGTGAAAATTGATCTGTAAATGCATCGAATTATTTTGTAAAGTTGGCACAGATGAACAATATCTTTATACTTAGCGATTTTTGCAAATTGGTTTTATTAAAGAACAGCTTATAATCAGCTGATAGAGACAGCAAGTAAAACTTAAATAAGCAAGTGCGAATAGTGTTGTAAACTGTTAAATTACTACACGAATATTGTTCATTTTATTGTGTAATTGTGTAGTTGATTAATTAAATAATTGTAATAATGAAAGATTGTTATAAATGCGGTGGCGGCATACGTGGTGAAACCGGTCTAATATGTAGAGGAATTTGTGGTAGAGCATATCACACTTCCATAAAATGCTCAGGGATTGAACAATTTAATTTAAATTGCCTTAATAGTAGTATGATACACTTTATGTGTGAAGATTGTGCAGTATATTCACAATACTGATTTCGCAATTAAACAAATACAAAACAGTGTAGACAAAAATCAATCGTACTTAAAAGACTCTTACGATTAATGAAAATTAAATAAAATCTTTGTTAAAGACTGTCGAGGCTAGATATAGTGAAGGAATAAAAAAACTTATTAATATTCAAGAAATTTATGAACAAAAAATCGGCTCCTTTGAAACAAAATTAGCTGATATGACAAAAAGTGTAAAAGAACTTGATGACAAAATTTGTACAAAACCTATTAACAAGGATCAGCCCAGTTTTGTTACCTATGTTGCTAAGTTGAAATCAGGATTTAATAAAAATGTGCCGATCACTCTTAGCCAAGGAATAAACAACAAAGTGAAGAAACAAAAAAGGAATTAAAGCTAAAAACAAAGCCATCAAATCTAAATGTTAAAATTCATGAAACTAAAAGATTTATTAGCCGTGATGGGCCTAAGTATCATCAACGAAACTGAACCAACTAGATACTGTAACAGTGTGCGACCTAGTCTTCTAGATATAGTGGCTGTATCGGATCCTAATAAAGTCTAACTATTCGATCAAATCTCTTTTGTATCTAATCATGATCTACTATTTGCTACATTGGACTTTAACCCAAACAGGAAATCTAGTCCTAGTTCTTTCTCTTATAGGAATGTTAAATCAATTGATACTATCAGATTATTTGATGAACTAAATACTGTTGATTGGAGTGATTGTTGCTTTTTTTCAACTTCTGACGATAAGTTAGATAAATTTAATAATGTATTTTGTCAATTTTTTTTATCGATTTGTTCCGCTGCGGACGATTTTTAAAAGTTCTTCCTGTCCTTGGCTAACCCCTCAGATTAAAAGAAAGATAAATTGCAGAAACAAAAAAGCATGCAGTATGGAAAAAGTTTCCTTCGCCTTATAACTGAATGCGGTTTAAATTAGCTAAAAATTTAGCCACGAAGGCAGTAAGCATTGCAAAATCGGGGTTTTATAAGTTTAAGCTTGACACTACACAGCCAACCAAGAATATCTGGACAAATATTAAACATTTGGAATTAAAACAAGATATTACAACACATTGTGAACTAAATCCAAATGAACTAAATGATTACTTCATTTCGTGTATAAATGTAAATTGTGATAATACCACTTCGATATTCCCAATTTCTGATATATGTGCTTCTAATGTGAGGTTTAATTTTATAGGTGTTAGTGAAGAAATGGTCTGTAAAAGTTTGATGAATATTTAATCAAATGCTGTTGCATTAGATGACTTTCATCTCAAATTTCTAAAGCTCACTTTACCGTACATAATAGCTCCTATTACACATAAAATTAATTATTGTATAACTACGTCAACCTTTCTCAAAACGTGAAAAGAGGATAAAATTATTCCAACCCCGAAGAAGTCTAACGCTTCGTCGACTTGTGATTACAGACCTATTAGTATTCTTCCATCTCTGTTCAAAGTTTGTGAACTTATAATGGCTAATCAAATTAATATTCACCTTGAGTGTTTCAAACTTCTCTCTCCATTACAGTCTGCCTTTAGGAAGGGTCATAGTTGCTGTACTGCCATGCTCAAAGTTTTAGAAGACATTCGACCTAGCTTTGATAATGACATGATTACATTCCTATGTCTTTTAAACTTCTCTAAAGCATTTGATCGTGTTAATCACTCCATACGATGTAAGAAATTACTGATTATTTTTCATTCTCGTACTCTGCCTCTAAATTTATATATAGTTATCTAACAGGGAGATCGTAGACTATTTTCTCTGCTGATAAATATTCCGATTTTAAATCGTTGCCCACTGGTGTTCCTCAGGGGTCAATCCTCGGCCTACTGCTTTTCTCAATATATATAAATGATGTTTTCACCATATGTAAATATTCCAAATTATATGCATATGCAGATGATATTCAAATGTATCTTTCTAGTACAGTTGGTTTTTTAGGTGACAGTGTTTGTAAGCTTACTGATGACTTAAATAGAATTAATGCATGGACAATAGTAAATAACATGCTGCTTAATACAGATAAAACAATTATTCTGCCTATTGCGAGGAGAAAAAATATAGTGGAGAAATTGCCTTTAATTTTAATCGGCAGTACTACAATTGATTATAAATTATCAGTAAAATGCTTAGATTTTTACTTGAACTCTAGCTTGAATGCTCATGACCACATAAATCAAGTTTTTTTTGGAAATTAATTGTATTACTTAGATGTATACAATTATCAGCTAAATATATTCCAATGAATCTTCATTGAACATTAGTAAAGCAATTAATAATGCCTATAGTTATGTATTCTAGTCTGGTCTACAGCAAACTTGACTCAGACTCCATATACAAATTAAGAGCTCTAATGAACTGCCTGACAAGGTATGTCTATGGACTCATGCGTTTTGATCATTTAACTGGCTACAGGAATAACATTCTGGGATGTGATATTGAACAATATATTAATAAATATGTTTGTCTATTTTTGTTTAAAATTGCTACGATCCAAATCCCTGGGTACCTGTTTAATAATCTATGTAAATTGCATTCAAACAGATCTCTTCAATATTTAATCCCAAGGTTCAATCACTTTTCTGCTTCTAGTTTCTTTTTCATACATGCGGTAAGACTCTGGAACTCGTTATCTAGCGATACGAGAGACGCAAACAACTTAGTGTGCTTCAAGAAGTTAGTTTCTCAGGAACTGTCTTAGCTTATTACTACAATTAATTTATTAACCTGCCCAATAGTGGGTCATGATTTATGATTTCAGGACGTTTATTTCCAATATTTTTAAAAGAACCTCTTACGTTTATGATGATAAATTTCATAATCGATTTTAATGTTGAACTTTGCAAATTTGAATATCATGTAATCCTTCGAAGCGCTTTTTTCGACGTTTTTATCAGTGGCGGCATTTTTTGACTGTCCAAAAGGGATACGTAATGAAGCTAAGCACTCGCAAACTTCTTGTAGTTTGGATTAAATGTGCAATGTTGTTTTTTTTGATACAAAAAATTAATCCCAACGCCATAATTGTTTCTTTTCATTTTCAGAAAGACTTTAAATCGGGCGATGTAAACAGCTGGTAGTTTTCAGGACTTCATTTTAAAGTATTGTTTGTGAGTTCTATAAAATAAATTTACCGTGGAGATGATAATAAAACTTTTCTAACACCCTGTATATGTATATATCCTGCTTTCTTTAAAAGTCTTTTCAAAAATTTTCAGAAGTCATAAAAACTTTCGACTTTATGCACTTCTAAACTGTTTGTAAACATAAGCACTTGCTTAATTAAATAAAACTTTGTTTAAGTGATTAACTTTTCTTGATTTATTTTAATTCGTTTGTCTCTTTGTTTCTAAATAAACATAAGGCTTTCGAAGCTTTAAAACCATAAAGTCATACACTAATATCTTATAAACTTAAGTATGAATGCAGTTCTCTAAATTTTATTTTTGACTCTGTGTTATCCATGTGCTAGAAACTCTTGTAGCTCGTTTTCGTTTTCATATCTCAGTGCCGAGAACCGCAATTGCCTACAGAACTACACATATTAATTGCCACTGACTGTATTTTGTATCTCCTAATTTTTCATTACAAATAAAGCTGCTCACAGCATTCGCAACTCCATTTGATGAAGTTCCTAACTTGAATCCTGCCACTTCATCCTGCCAGTTTTTCGCTTAGTTAGTGGCATTCCTTAGCGTGTTGCAAGTTGTCAAAAATGAAGTTTATTACGTCTATACAATACTGTTGTCCATTTATGGTGTAATTGTGAATGGTGTTGAGGGATGAAAATGGGAGTGCTGTTGGGGTTTAGCGCTAATACATAAGTATATTCATAAATATGAAAGAACAACGGCAGGCAACTGGAGTCCAAAGAACACAATGCAATGAATGGCAAACTCTCGCTAAAGTAAAAACTGACAGGAAAAGGACTTTGTTTAGAATTTGCCACAGGAGTGAAGCATGAAGTCAGTGTCGTTTTAGCCATATGTGTACAACGAGACATACATCTGTTATTGTCATTGTTGTTAATATTGTTGTTTCTTAATAATTTTAAATATAAACCAACAAGCAGCAAACCAAAGGATCCCTTACAGTTTTCGCTAGCGCTAAAAATTGCACAACACTGAAATTTTACCATGGCGCGAATTATATTCAAATGGCAGGAAAACATTGAAATTTACCAAACATTCGCATCACACATGCAAGAATATGAAGCGGTTTTGTTGGCGCCCCGACTTGGTGACGGTTTGATGCCTGCTATTCGTCTTTTAGACGCGTGCACATTACATTCAGTGCTTCTGAAGCGCACTTTCGTGACTATTTTCGTTGTTGGAGCTCCACTTGTAATCATGGCGAATAACTGACAAGTAACGAACTGTCCCCGCACGCTCAACCCCACAAACCTCTTACTCCATTACACTAAATGCACAGCCGTTTTGTACATAATTATCATTGTTGATTTTGGTGTTAGCGCCCAAAAAAGAGAAAAGGGCAGTAGGAAATTATTGGATTGTGCAAGGCTGTGCAAAGGGCTCAGCCATTCTAAGTGGGCTGTTGCCTTGTTGTGCAATCAAAGTTTTTTATATCTTTTTCTGTTGTTTTTGCTGCTACTGCTGCTGCTGATGCTGCTGTTGTTGTTGTTGATGTCGCAATGCTTATTTTGTTGTTTTATGAGTGATTAACGCGCGTTTGTTTAACAATTAACGTGTGCGGTGTAACACGTTGCAGTTATTTATGTGGTATCACAGTACACCACGCTTCGCTTCACATAAACGAAAGCGTTTAGTATTGTTTCCATTGCGGCTATCATGACAACAACGCCAACAACGCCAACAACGCCAACAACGGCAACAACGGCAACCTAACTTCTGGTGAACGCAACTCTTTGAATGCTACGGGCAGAGTTTAAGTTCTGAGTTAGTTACCGCTTTACAAATGTTGCTTCACCGAACTCCAGATGTTGTTATACAATTTTTATTTGGGTAATTAGTCGTTTTATGCTTTTCATTGAATGTGGATATGTTCTCAAGTATGCATGGAACTGTGGAAAGGGTTATGTATCAGTGCATACATATATGTAATGAGCACAATGCAAGCGGGTATGGAAATGGAAATGTGATAAATGATAATGGCTTATTATGCCATGGAGGTACGATAGGCCAATGTGACAGCAAAAGAGTTCGAATGCGTGTTAGATAAAGGACTTAATGTCTTCGGCTTGAAGGAATCAGCACTGTTTGCATATATTATCGTAAGAAATTATTTTATATACAAATTTTCTAATAATTAATGACAATGTGACGAATCAACATATGCAAAACGCTTACAATAACAACACTACAAGTAACAACTGAAACGCTAACAAGAACAGCAGCAGTAAGGAAAAGCACTGATGTAAACACTTTCTAGAAGTAAATAAAGTTGTTTCTAAATCTTTTTAACTGGCAACATATGCAAGCAATATAGCAAGATTAATAGGTAGATAATATGTAGTGTCACATATGTGTATTTTTACTATAATATTATAATTTCTGTATATATATAAGAAAATTAACAAATTTTTGTGTAATTAATATGTTGAACCAAATGTTGCAATTTATTTCTAAAAATATTTTAGAAAATTTGAACATTTTCATATCAGTATTTAGAATATTAATTTAAAGAGAATGACGTTTTCGAATGGTGAATCCGGATCCAATTTAGATTTACTCTCGACCTGTTAAATTAGTTGCCCAATCGAACATTTTAAGAGTAGTTTAACATTTTTGTTGTGGTGTTTTGGTGTTTTCAATTGGTAAATGTGGGGTAATTTTTTCAATCGAGATGCTCTTTTAATGTACTTTTAGTGCAAATTTATTTTCGATTGGTAAATCTGGTGCAAAGAGTATAACACTTGAGATTAATTTATAACACTCTAGATATTTTGCTAGAGTAACAAGATTATCCTGCTGTTTTTAGTAGTCAAAATTTTGTAGTTTTGGATGCTTAACCATATTTTGCAATGGTTAGACTTTCCATGTTCAAGTTGTGCAAAAAAAAACTTTACTTTTTTTACTAAAATAAAATATATCGGTAGACACAGGATTCCTACAACTACCAAAGCCAAATATTTTGAGATCATTCTTAAGTGGCCATTACACGGCATCGCCTGATGTCATCGCGCGATGTTCGCTTGCCATTACACATCGAATTTCACCACAATTTTTTAAACACGCCTCCAGCAAACAATGCAAACATTGTTTAGTGATCAGTATTAAAGCAATCGCTGAAGTGTTAACAGCGGCTGTTATGCGTAATTTCAAAACGAAAAATGATGTTTTATATATAATTTATCATTTTAATTTATATATTTGTTTTTATATATATTATATTCTATTTAATTTAAATCTTTTTTTTCATATATTTTAATAACGAATTTTCCGTAGGTACAAATATTTAAAATAAAATATTCGTTGTAATTTAATGTTTGGTTATTTATATAGTTATACAGCCCAAGGTTATTAATATTTTAATTCTTCTTAATAACATGTTTTGGGAATTAAAAAATTTTACCTAGGTAGAAAAGACAATTATTTAAAGTAAAAGATACAATTCATTCATATTGGCATCGTCTGCTAACGACAAATCATGCGTGCATTTAAACGATGTTTACGCTTCCATTTCTCAAAATAAATGAAATTTTGCATGCCGACAAAATCCGACTGTATACGCAAAAACACGAGCGTATATACGCGTCTAAAGGGATGAAAGCACAAACATCGTTTAAAGGCATGTAACTATGATTATATTTTTTAGTATATATGTTGTTTTATCTTGGGCGATGTTTAAAAAATTGTTGAAAAACTTTATGTGTAATGGCAAGCGAAAACATCGAGCGATGACATCGGGCGATGCCGTTTAATGGGCCCTTTAATAGCACAGCACGTTTTCACGGTGTATAGGTAGCTGATAAATTGCTTCCCGCTCTCTTCACTTCAATTTCAAGGATTCTAGAACGGTGTCGCACTTTGTTTATATTTTTTCTCTAATATTAATTTTTCATACATGACTTCTAGACTACGCCAAACATTATTATTAAAAGGAGTAGGCAAATCAAATCATAAAATGGACAAACGTGTGCCAGTGATTATATGAACGTTCCTGATACACATCAGGTGCAAAATCTGTCCAAATATCAACTGTGTATCACTTCAAAAAACAAGTCTTGATCAAAAAGTTGAACATTTTCTTTTCTAAGCAACAAAATCAGCTGCTTCCTCAAATGCGCACTGTGCACCAAGAAAGTCGTTCATTTCTATCCATATATCATATGACACATATCATTTTCCATACAAATTTAGTACAGCGGTTCTAATTCTTATTTCGAATATCAAATAATTGCAAAGTTATAGATTAACAATGAGAACAATGCTGCGGTAAGACACTGAACGTACGTCACTGTTTGCTTGAAAATTCAGCCGATAACAGCTACAAGACAATAAGTTTTACTAAGTTTCTTATTTCGCGAATTTTGACGTTAGAATATTCGTTTAAACAAACTAAATTTTAAAAACTAGAAATAATTTCCGTTTATTTTGTATACAGTATAGATTCATTACAGCGGAATCTTTAAGCATAATTTGAACATAAAAAGAATTTATAGAACTATATACATAAGATGGTAAAGTTTTATAAATCATACTAAATAAATTATCTTGAATATTTGTAGATTGACTTGGTTGAGGATGACTCTCATATGTGCATTAAATGTCGTGTAACAATTGTGGGGTTAAATAATTACATTGAGCACCGCAAAACCAACTGCGTTGCACCTTGCCCAGAAGAAATTTTACCGTCAACGTCTACGACCACTGTCAACGATATTGTTCTGCCGATTATAAACAAACCAATACCAACAACTGCAGTAAATACTTTTCGTCATGACTACGATTCTTTTCCGTCATATCGTTCCACAGATAATGATGACAAAACTGGTAAGGGCATTTTTGATTCATACATGCATACATACGAAATGGAAGCAGATGAATTTTTCTCATCTCTAAGATTGAAAAGTGTCCAATCATCCAATTTAATTCGAGGTGATTCAACACTTAATACAAGTGCCAAAACACGTTTACAATCGCCGATTATGCATCAAATTTCCACTGGCAGTGCTATCTGCAATTGGATACATGCAGAACATAACTCCCAACGTTCCACAGATAATAATGAGCCGATATATGAGCCAATGAGTTTTGTATCTAGTTTATCTGTTATAGGTGGTGATGAGGCTGTTATAGCAATGCATGAAAACGATGATAGTGTCGAATTTGGTATGGAAAAAGAACAAGAAGATGATGAAGAAGAAGAATATATATGTAACGAATCTGAGGAAGAAGATGAAGATGATGAAGATTTCATACCTGATAGTAGTATTCATAATAAACATAAACCTTTACGTGCATTTCGCTCACCTCCTGCAGTGCCGCCTACACATACAGGTGGTAAATGGCGTCCAGGTCAGAGACCAGCACTTGCTGAACTGACACGCATAAACTCTCCCAGTTGGGATGAATCAAATTTTGATTTTGAGTGTAGCGAGAATAAAACTGCTATTACTGTTGATGCGGAAAAGTGGACAAACAGCATAACAAAGCTAGCAAATGATAAACTTAAAGCCGCTCCTGTAGTTCCAAAACAATATTGGTGTAATCCCTGCTGTAAAAAACTAAAAACCAGCGCGACATACAATAATCATTTGCGGACGCAATTTCATATTAAACGCGCCGATGCTGACAAACCTTTAGAAAAGGCTGAAATCGACTGTTTGAGCCCACAGGTACTCAGCGATATTTTTTCCACAATAAGTGTTAATGAAGAAAATCTACAAACGGAACAAGAGAAGAAAAAAATAAAACAAATTAAAAAGGGTAAAAAACTTAACCGAGGCAAAATGTTTGAAAAATGTATTTGTTGTAAAAGATTTGTGCCACGTAAACATATTGGACAGCATTTCGTCAGTCATTATCATTATAAACATATGATAAGAGATCCAGCCAAATCAATTCCTCAATTGTTTCAAAAAATGCATGCTATTGTCCACAACTCTCCATTCCAATGTCGTCCGTGTCGTTTCTATGTAAACACCGAAGAACAATTTATGCGTCATTGGAACTCCGCAGCACATCTAGATGCCACTGAAGGTCCTGGAAAGTTCCTATGTTCCCACTGCCAATTCGAATGTGAGGACAATAATCAAATGCGTCGTCATTTAGTAAGCCTAGAACATAAAGAATTGGTTAAATCAGTTGCACGTTCTATGCCAATTTGTATTAGCAAAAAAATTGACATAAAGTGCAACAAGTGCCATAGTTCGTTCAGATACAATGCAGAACTACGCGCCCACATACAAGTCTGTCATCCTTTTACAGAATTAAGTGGTACGGCTTCAGATGCATATCAAAGCCGTTTTAAATGTGCGCATTGTGATGAATGGTTACGTTCTAAAATCGCACTGCAACGTCATACAAAATCTCGCCATTCTATAAGGAAATACTACTGCTATCGGTGTAATTTGTGCTTTCAAACCTCTCAGGAGGCAATTAGACATCGTAAAAAGCTAACGCACCGGTTAAAGGCTAAGAATTTGGTAGGAACCATGAAAAGAAATAGAGTGGCAATGAACAACTCCAAAGAGTGCCGTGAATGTGATCATGTGTAAGTTTATTATAGTGATAGTATTATGATTTTTTATTTATATACAACAATTTAATTAATACAACCGAAATTATATGATTTTATGCTTTTAGGGCTGCTACGGAAGCAGAAGCTTTGTTACATGTTTTGGCACACAAAAATAATTATGTTAAAAACAGCAGTAAGACCATTCGACAAAAAAAGAAAGCTAATATCAAGCTTGATGTTACATCTAAGAACTTAAACACCTGTAAAGACTGCAAAAAAATTTTTGAAAATCGTTATGCGCTAAAAATACATCGGGATAATGAGCATCCTCTATTAAAGCACCTCTGTGGCAGTTGTGGAAAAAGTTTTGCTCTCCCGCAAGCTTTAGGTCGTCATATTCGAAAATGTAAACCTATTTGCATACCATCAGAATTTTCTACCACCATTACAGTTTCATGCATAGATGTAGTACCTACATTATCGGATACAGTAAAGACTGCAAACCTGTTGCTTGTGCAAAATAATAGTACACACACGAATGATCTGACAGAAACAATAATTATGCAAAAATCTCTTCTTCCGACTGAAACATCTAGAATTGTGGTCTATGAACAAAAAATTGACTCGACACCTAATACTCACACGGATTTTAACGAAACAGCGGTGGTTCCAATTTTAAACAATTATATCAATCCAATACCATTAAATGAAGGTGCTAAACACTTTTGTCACATCTGCGGTCTTGGGTACAGTATTTAAGATATTTATTTGTCACCCTTTAAGATATCTATGGTACATGTTTTCTAATCACGTTTTTTTAGTCTACCTTATAAAGCAGAATTACTTTTTCATCTCGTACATCATAAATATGGACAAATTAAACGAAACGACTTAATACCTTGCGAAATGTGTTCAAAAAAATTCCGCAAAGATTCGCTACGCTGTCATTTACGTCAGCACACCAATGAAAAAATCTTCAAGTGTCAAATGTGCAATGTACGATTCTCTAGACGCCATAACCTCAAGACTCATCTCATGACTGTCCACAAATTATCAAAAGACGATTCAGCGAAAATATCCGTAAATGTTTTAACAGTTGAAGAAGTGGATATGTGCAACAATGCCATTGAAATGGTCAACAATACGTAAGAAACCACAAACATACTTTTTATTTACTTGTTTTTAAGATATTATATTAAGGATAATAATAATCTAAATGATTCATATTAAAAATTTCAAACAATATCTAACTTCTCATAACTAAAGAAATATTTATACAAGTATTTTTAATTCAAATCTTTATAGTAGAAATAATAGAAAGTATATTTACATTTTGCTATTTGAACCTTTAAGGCAAATTTCCAACAACAAATATTGTTATTTTCACTTTACCAACCCAAAATTGGTGTGCATTTGTTTTTTGCATGCGCTACACTCTGTGTAGAATTATCTTCAGACTTATAACTGGTAACTAAAGAGAGAAAGCAACATTGTCAAGAATCGGCACAAAAATCGGTGTGTCTCATTATATTGTTTCTCCCCTAATAGCCTCTGCTCTTGATTATATGAGAAAAGGAAACTTTATTACCTTTTATGTCTGTCTATGGTAGTTTGGCTTCAGATCGATATATTACCAACATATATACTTATTATAGCAACGGTGCTATAGCAAAAACATTCTACACATCCATATATGGTATATGATTTTAAGAATAATATTAAGATAGTACAATCGTCTGTGTTGACACAAATAATTCTCGATAAAATAAAGGCGACAGATAGTTCAAAGTTTATCATTTAGATCATTAAAAAGACAATATGAAATATTGTAAACACCTATATAATAATTATTATTTTATTTATATATATATATATATTTATTATATTTGTAGAAAGTATATATATACCATCATATTAAAGTACCGCTCTAAACAAGCTTCTTTGCTGATATGTTCTCATAACATATGCACTATAATGTTCTTCTTAACATTTATATTAACATGGCATTTAATTTATTGTTTATATATATATATATATATCTATATATATATAAGAAATAATCAAAGAAAGACAACAAGCATATTATCAGTACAATATTACATGGCGCATTTTTTTTGTTGCACAAATTAAAAAATTCCAGAACCCAAAAGCAAAAATTTTTCACTAATTAAAAGAAGGAACCCAAAAATAACTCATTAAGTCCAGTACATTCTTGTGATAATTATATGCATATGCAGATAGAACACCTACACCCAGAAACAATGTTCTCCATATGTGCATGCAGTACGTGGAACCTAAAATAAAATAATTCGAAGCGCAGTGGCGCAAGCTACAAATGTTGCATTAAAATTGGAGGAAGTCGCCACAAAGTATGCAACGCCTTCACAAATCACGCTTGCGGGGCATTTAACAGCAATGCAACATTATTTCCTTTCGAATATTTTGAACAATATTTTTAAATAAATACGTAGACTTTTTAGTCGTTGTCATTAGAAATGACATTCATTTCGTTTCTTATTTTTAATTATTTTTTATTTTATTTTTACTTACATCCCAGCGAATAGATAGAATAACCAGGCGTAAGAAGCATTTCAAATCCGACCTACTTGATCATTCTTAAGACGAGTATAACTTCAACATAAATGTATATTTATTTTTGTTTTAATTTTTGAGTCGTTACTTTGAAATTGTTTAAATGCGATTATTTTTGTTTTTTAAAATATACTAACTTTTATTTCGAAAGTTTTTTTGTGTATCTCTACACGTGTTTCGGCAAATTCGCTTTTGCCTTCATCAGGAGAATTTCTAATATTAAAACATCTAGCAATCTTACAAACTATTTATACCATTAACATGTTATTTTTAATACTAAACTTAATATTAATAAAACCTAAGGTTATTGTCCTTGGAGCTGACAGGTAAGAAATGGTGGCGGGGTTGGTCTGGTGTTGTTTTTATTTTTACATACTAGTAGTTAGGTCGACTGGTTGTCGGTTTTTTGGGATGTATCTAAAAAGGCACGATGACACGTTGCCTTTGTCGCCGTTGAGTAAAGTTGTGATCTGATGTTTATGTATTTCGATGCTTTCTGCCGTTTCTAATTTCCAGCTATCTCTTACATTTTAGATTATTTGGGCGTTATCCCTGTTGATGTGGTGATTTTCCTTTACTATATGTCTGGCGACATTTGATTTTATGTGGGGGTTCATTTTCTTCTGTGCTTCTCTTGCTTCCTTCAGGTGTTCTTCAAGTCTTACTGATAAGGGTCTTTTGGTTTGTCCGATGTATATTTTGTTGCAGGAGCCACACTCTATTTTGTTTACTCCGCATTTTTCGAATGGGTCAATTGGATCTTTTGCGGATGGTAAAAGGCATTCAAGTTGATGTGGTCTACTAGAGTGAACTAAGTCGATATTGAACTTTTTTAACTTGGATTTTAGACCTTTGGAGACGGTGTTATTGTATACTACAGCGATAATATACATTTATCCATATTGCACTATTACATAGCTAAACGTTAAACTTAAGGTGACTCTAAATATTTGAACATTTTTTCCAATGCTATATATAATTGATTGTGAATAGATTCGAGTGCCGCCTTAGTGCCACACCTGGGGTTTATTCTTGCTAATATTTGTGCACATTATATTTAAAAAAACTAATCAATTATCGAAAAGAAAATATGCCTGAACATATAACAAACGAAAAACACAATATATTGAAATTTATCTAAACTATAATTTGGACGTAAACTTAATTAACATAAATCTACCCAATCCACAAATCCACAAATCTCTTTCTAAATTCGTTACTTTGTCTTCCTCAAAAACTTTAATTTTTATATATATGTATATGTATTTTTTGAATTTTTCGGGCTTGAATTATCATAGCGTCATCAGTGGGTTAACCATATTAATATTTTTATGAATTTTCTCAGAATATCCTTACATATAGAAACAAATGCAAATAACCCGCCTGACCATATTGACAGATATGTAATAGTATAAAATTTGCAGAACAGCTTAAATTAGATTTTGTAGATTTTACACAACCAATATTGCTCCAATAATTTATTAGTATGCGCTACTTAATATAATGAGTAATTATAAGATAACTTCAATCAAGTTAATTTATTCATAAAATAAAAATTTATTTTTTCTATTCAGATATTATTTTCAATAAACAAATTACCCATCGCATATTAATAAAATTTTATTCGAATTCAATACACAAAAGCGTGACAATTGTGGCAATTTGGCGCTGGTGTGCATTACTCAATTAAAGCCAATGAATCTATTTTCGATTGCTTCAACGGCAGGGGTTAGTCTGGGGATATTTTGCCGCTGCAAGCACGCAACGTGGCCGCCAGCTACTATGCACTGTTCACTATGGTCTAATATACCTATTTCAAAACCGCTCAGGCAGCAGAGTGCAGAGTGCACCGGGTGCTTATCTAGTCGTTGGTAGTCTGTTTATTTGTAGGGACTGCTTGAAATGAATTCGTTATGTATATGTATTCATGAAACGATTCATCTGTAAATCTGTGTAAAGGAATCTTTTCAATACATATTATTTTTGATTGACTTAGTTACGCACTAATTATGTGTCGAAATTATTTGACAATGTATATCTTAAGATGGGTATACATACGTATATCTTAAGTTCAATAATTTGTGTGAACACGGTGCTGTTATTTCTTACACAAACCAGAAACGGTTACATTTTTTAAATAACAACTCATCAGCAACATGAGTCAATTATTTAACTTGCAATATAAAGTTTACAATATAATTTTGTATTTTATTTTTTTTTCTAAAATATTCTGTACAAAAATATATCTTAATTTAGAGCGTGCAAAGGGGATGGATTGTAACTCACTCTGGGCAAAACTACTGTTGCCGTTACACGGGAGTTGTTATCTAACAGTTGCTTTTGTGTACTGATATCCATGCCACGATAAACAAATATACGACATTCTGTTTCTAGAACATCTTTCTTTTAACAAACCCGTATACCGTATACAAACCCGATTATACCTTCTGTGTTTATTTTTTTCTTTTCTTTTTTCATTTGTCATTTGCATTTCTGAAAATGATTTCATTTTTCTTTTATCTAATATATTTAATATATTTTTATATATTATTTTGTAAGTTATTATGCGCTTTTAGAGCACATTTCACATTTTTTTTATGAGAACATAGCTATTGATTCAATTGCTTTCACTTGCTACATCACTTCAAATCAAAAATATAAAAGAGCTTAAATATTCTACCACTATAAATAAATCGACCACTATTCCTCCAAAACTAGCGTTATTCCTTTAATAAAAATAGTACGAAATCGTTCGTTTCACTCGCAGCATTACCATCTCTCCCTTTCACATACGCAATACTTTGCAGGTGAGCCATATTTTTGCTCCAAGTTCCAAATTTTGATATTATTTTTCGGGTTAATTTTTGACGTAAAAGATCTGTGATTCATGGATATATGGTAGGTATATTATTATTAACGCTTCATATAAATCTACAGATATAACTACAGATAAATTTATAGGGACTAACTCGGTACTACGTTTCTAGTAATTTGGTTTCATATGTGCGTGACTACTCGGGATGTCACGTTTCTTATACGTATCTTATACGTATCTTAAAAATAGTTAACTCATTATACACAAATTGATGTTTCCCGATTATTCACTGAGATTTTCCTAGTTTTAACAAATCATCGTTGCACCTAAAATTGTGTTCAATTAATCGAATATAGTAATAAAAACGAATACAGTCCCTTAATCTTATTTTAAGGAATGAGTTCTACATAAATTTACTTACACTTTTGCCTGAACTGCATTTTATTGTAAATTTATTTTTATTTAATAAAATTTAAACATAAAGTAATAGTTCAAGTCTTGCGCATATGCTGGACACCATTCCTGTGGAATCAAATTACCACGACTTTAATAATTTCGTCTTTAACGGTAGATTGCTCTTTAAAAGAATATTATGCATTTCTTTTTTGGTTGAATGCATAACGTGCAAATGTTGTCAGCTTGTGTGTCTTTACATATTGCCTTATCACAAAGACGGCAAAACATAGTAGTCTTCTATTCTCTATTTTTCCCAGAATGGTAGCAGGCGTAACAACGTCCTCGCTTATCAGCTACTTTTTGTGATTTGGTGACTTTTATTGACTGTAGAAGCAATTAGGTGGAATTGTTTCTTAGTCCATGGGACCTCTGTCCTCTTGTTCACAAAACCATGGGCTAATGCAATGCCTAGCTCTTACAAAAAGCATTTACGTTTGGTGTGCTTTTGCTTCAGTTTCCAATCTGGGCATAATTGATTGAATACTACGAGTATATAAGCATTCAAAGCCGAAATATCTATCATATTAGTCAGAACCATCATAGATCGCTATGCTTACCGAACTGATTGGTTGTTTCCTAAATTAGCTTCTGCTACTGTAGAAATTCTATTTTATATAATTCTGTAAAAATCTTGCTCGGGATGATTAGTAAGCTTATTCCTCTAAAGTTATTGCAATTACTTGCATCTCCTTTCTTATGTATTTTTACTTTTTAATATTCTTACTTATTTGTGTGTATTGATATTGCAAGTGCTTTGTTTTGTCTATATCTTACACCATATCCCAGAAATTCTATTGTGTCCACTGGTATCTTCCATTACTTTTGCGACCTAGGGTTCTATTTCTTCTATTTCTTCTTTTTATAGCCACTTTCATCATCTCTTCTACGTTTGTGGTGGTAGCAAAGTTATTTTTTTTTTGTAATTATATTTAAACAAATGTAGAGTTTAAATTAACAACAACTACTCATATTGACTAACAAGAGGCTTTTTAATTAATACTACAAGTAAATTTACTCATCTAAGGTGAGCATATAGATCTGAGCTAGTCATCTCATTGCTGGATGAAACGCCTCAAAAGGTGGTTTGAAGCGGCATAAGTGTCTGTAAGTGACATCGCAAAGTAACACCGGAATGGTGCTGTTTAAGTGTTGACTCTGCTTGTCGCAATGTGTTTTAGCAGTCTTCTGTATTTCTTGCTTGACAGTAAGTATTTCAAGGTCACGATATAGATCAGCATTTCGAACGATTTTTAGCTTGGTGGTAGACACCTTGTTGTTTGGACCTGTAACCATTATTATCGTGTCATCTGCAAAAGTTCCCACAATACACCTTGGGTTCACTAGCAATCATATGTGTACTGCAATGGTACTGCAATGGGCCAAGTATACTCCCCTGGGGACACCGCGATTTATAGGATATAATTGTGAATACGCGTCAAGTAGTTTAACTCAGTGGTGGCTTTCGCAAATATACGATTCCAGTAGTTTACAGTATTGCTGTTTCAGAATAGTGTGCAGCTTATATATCAAGCCAGAGTGCCAAACCCCGTCAAAAGCCTTTGAGATATCAAGAAACACAGCTGAACAAGATTCCTTGTTTTCCAAAGCCTTTTCTATTTCATGCGTAACTCTGTGTACTTGCTCGATCGTTGAGTGTTCTTTTCGAAATCCAAACTGATGATTTGCGATAAGATTCCTTTGACAAATTATTTTTTCAAGTCTTTTACAGATGAGAAGAGGGATTGGTCTATATGAAGTAGGAGAATGTTGACCTTTATCTGGGTTTAGAACCACCATTATGCGCTGGGTTTCTTTTTGACTGAAGGTTTTACTTAGATATTCTGCTAAAACGTGTGCCTTTTTTATGTTACTTTTCGCCATTATTATCGTTTTTTAGGGGAGAAGGGGGGAGGTATGAGTGATCGGTCTTTTATGTTTTTTCATAGTTTTCCAGAGAGAATAGTTAGTTTTACTGTTATATGTCAAGCTTAAAAGATGTTTCTTAACATTTTCATTTTTAAGGTTACTGATCCCTTGTCTTAATTTTTGAGTGGCATTATTAAGGTTTCTTTTATTTTGTATGAAACATGATTGTTGTCATTTTTTGCGAAGTTTTCTTTATAGACTAGATTTAAAATTTCGAGCGGATACTTATTGCCAAATTGCTTACTATTCTGTAGAGGTGAACTGCTCCATGCCGATTTTTGAATCAAGCTCGTAAAGCAATCCGTTTCGCTCTCTAGGTCATTAATGCTTCGTATTTTGCAAGATAGGACAATATTTTCATTTATCTGGGCCTTAAAATAATTCCAGTCTGTTAGACGGTTTGTTAATGTCAGCCTGGGTTACGTAGATAGTATGTTACATCCATATATATGCATAATTAGTGAATGGTCAGAATTTAAGTCGAGTACAGCTTTAACTTCAATGTGCCTTTTTTGAATTTTATTTACGATGAAGAAATCAATGTCATCTGGTGATTTTTTTATATTAGTTGGCCAGTACGTTGGTAGCAAAGGTGTGGACAGTAGTTTCATGGCCATTTCTATCCACAAAACAGAATCTATGTATTGCTCTATATTCGAGGAATTTATTCTCGAACCACATTAAATTTATTCTATTGAGAAGTTCAAAGAAGTGTCCGTTTTGATTTCCACTGCTTCTAACATGAACAACAGACGCGGTTTGGAGCCGCTCCACTGGCATAAAGACGCGCCGAGCTGCATATTATAATCGCCCCTTACATGGAGAACAGACGTTATACTTAAGCCTGACGATATACTGCATGCATGACTCGGGATTAGATGGCATGTATTACCGAAATTTACATATTTAAGCCAAGTAACTGTTCGCTAACTGTGACACCCATTTCCATTATAGTACAATGGAAATAATTTCACCGAACGTTAGCACAGATGTGTTATAGGAGCAAACTTGTCGTCATTACATTATTGGCGTCGACCAATTACGTCATCAAAACAAATAGTTTTGTAGAAAGATTTTCTTCAACATAATAGTGCGAAATATCGGACGTCTATAATTAGCATCAAATAAATCTCCTAAATTTTTTTTTTGACTTAAGCTCGAGTGTAGAATAATTATGGTAACATGTGCATTGACATGACAATAGGTATTTCTTTTTTCTTACCGGGACGCATTTAATTTACATATAATGTATATGCATTCACAAATACTACTTTCGTCACTCGAGAAAGTATCATTCGAGTTTTGCATACTGTATAAATTTTTAACAAAAATGTGCAATAGAACAACTCTCTCTGTTTAATCCAAATCGAACGATATTAATTATGTTCTATTTTCTTTTCAATTTATTTCTGGAGCAATTATTATAAGATCTCTTGCAATCTCCTATATAGTTCTCAATTTATATAAATGTATTTTTCTTAATTTATGTTTGAATTTCCTTTGTCGCTTGGAGTCCGTGGAGGGCTAGCGGTGCGACTACTCTGCCCCTTGAGCAGAGATTAAGGTTGTAATATAAATACCTTAAATTGTAATTATCAGAGCATTTTAACGAACTGTTGCCTGCACTGACACTTTTTTTTTAGTGCCTAAACGGCAGATTGGCAGCACCTGATGTGTTGTGTCGCTGGTGTGTACCAAATGTGGTATTACTCTCCTCAGCTAAGAATAGATTGTTTTTTAGAAAATGAAATCATCTATTTCTTATAAGTTGTTTAACTGTTAGACCCCTTAGATCTTTATGTACATCAGCATTTCATATATATTACGGGGTCTGATTTGGTCGTTTAAGTTTGCTGTGGTATTCTGGAATATTTGAAATTATTTTACTACAAATTTTAATGTTTTTATATTATTAATATATTTATATTCTTTTTTTTATTCAGTTGAATGCCCATAATTATTTTTTTTGTTGATTCCTGTTAAATTTTTTTCTAAATATTTTCGACTATAAAAAGTACTTAATTGACCAACATTCTATGCAATATAAGCTCCTTCCAATACTTTAATATGTTGGAGAATAACAATAAAAATGCTATGGAAAAAAGGAATAAGTGAAGAAGTTTTTATGATGCCAAATCCATATTTGATCATAAATATAAAGAAGCATCTCATTTTTCGACCAAATTTTCCGACTACAAATATGCATGTTTACTGCTGCACCCAACCATCTCAACGCAATTTGAACTGCCAATTCCAGAATTTTTACTCATTTCTTTTGCAAGGAAGTTTTACACTTCATTTTATTTTTCTTGAAGCTTTTAGTGATTTTTCTTCAATTTTTCCATGGTCTTCTTTTTCCATGGACTAATGTTAAATATTTTTGGTTATATTTCTTATGCACATCTATTTATTCAAACTTTACATTCATTTTTGTCAGTTATAACACCAAAGCCAATACCAAACGGAAAACCCAAAAGAACTAAAATTTTAGAGAAAATCACGATTGAAGAATCAAGTTAATCCCAATAAGCCAAAATGAATCTAACAGCAGATACAGCGCCAACCAGAGTGGCGAATTCAGTGAACTGAACTTCGAGAGTTTTTGTCTTATTTTTTATAATTTTTTTCTTATTTCAAGTGATTATGAGAAAATTTATTTTAATGTTTATTTCGAATTATTGTCGTTGTATCTTGATGTAGGTAGTATTTTTTTACGACTAACGAGACCAACTGCAGAAGACAGGGAAGTAGTCTCACTTTTTTTTATTAAGCGTTTTTAAGCAGTTGAATATTATTTTCAAAAAAAAATTGTAATTTCATTATTTTTTCTGGCTTTTATTTTCATTTAATATAAAACTTTTTAATTTATATATTAATAAAATTTATTTAAATTTGATACAAAAAACTCAATATTTCCGTCATCTTCAGGAATTATTTACAACAATTATTATGTAAAGTTACAAGTGAACTAATGCAAACGTACAATACAAAAAATACTTAAACACAAAAAATTAATACAGTACTTGTACATTTGTGACAATGAGTTAAAAAAATAAATTTCGGACAAAAACTCCGCATAGAAACGTTACATAGAAATCTAATTTATTAAATATATTATATTAAGTTCTAGTTTTCCAATTGGTGAAAAAGAATTTAATAAACGGGTCCTGGATTTAAGGTTTGACGGGGATCAATGCCTGACACTTGCAGTCGAAACTTTATACACGGACAATTAAACCTGATTTTTCCTGATACCATAATTGATGGACATTTGGGACATTTGACGATGACCGAAACAGGCCAGCCCAACTATGACCAGCCCAAAAATTTACTTGATTACAAGTTTCTTTTTTACTTGAAATTTCCTTTAGTGTTACCACCCTTTTCTTCTTGAATATATTTCACATATGTTCTTGTTCGATTTTCTAATATGATTTTCTTTTCGATACATGACATAATAATCATGTTATGTAGGACATCGCTTAATCAGTAGTGGAAGAAGTACATAATTTATTATAGATTTCATTGATCGTCTTTATGTTTCTTGTTAAATGCACTTAACTTGTGCTACTAATATTAAATAATGACTCATACTTCTGAATTGGTTTATACCAAAAATATAACTTACCTAAAGATTATCAGTAACATATTTTCACATGAACAGATCCTAAGTTCATGTTCATGTTGAGTTTTTTTGATAACTGGGGGTTTCTGCAGAGTCCCACCCTTCTCACTGACTAATTTATGTATTCTTCAAAAGCTTTGTGATTATTCGATGACTGATCTAAAGTTTGCGTACCGCCTTGTGCTTCTAGAGATTATTCTGAGATTAGATAGTGATAAGTAGGGCAGCGTGTCCTAAGTATTAGAATATATATTATATCTTTATCAATTAACGCTGGAATGCGGGCTCGATTCTGATTTCTTCAAAAATTTTACTTCATTCTGCTATATCTCTAGCATTGATTTTTTAGTTAATCTGTTTTCTTTGTCAGTTACGCACTAGTCCGTACTCAAAAATCCATTTCTGGGTCGGATCACATTCATTCTTATGACGTGCTATCCATTTAAAATTCTGTGATTTTGCTTATTTCACAATCTGATAACGAATGTCCATATAAGATAAATTAGCAATATTTTTGTAAATGATAATGTGATCAACGACCGTCATGGTCATCATAAAAAAAACAATTTCATGAGTTTCACTTTCTAGTCCAATATGGAACACATAAATAGGCGAAGTGAAATGTGATATATGAAAGATGTCATTGGCAATACGACTTTTAGCATGATATGGTACAGTTAGAATGCAAATCGATCAACAAGAGAAAGCATATAATCGTAAGCAAAAAGTTAAGGTAACGTTTTGTAAATAAATAAGCAAATGAAAAGAGTGTTATTTTACCAATTTCATCCATTTGTGATCCGTACTGTTTCAGCAAATAATAACCAGATCATTATTTGCTAAAACGTAAAACGGAGGTGCTATCAAACTTTTTAGTTAGAATTATTTCATCTTTACGGTCTCTCGGTATATTTTCTTCAGTTTAAGTGCTTTTTTTAGATTTTATGCAGCAACCTGCCAAATTTCTGCGTTGCCAATTATTAACAACGGTTTTTGCATTTAGCATACAAAACCTGAATCAAAAGTTGTGAAATTATATACTTTTCTGAATGTTTCTGCAAATATTCTTTGAACAAAAAGTTCTTAGTTTTTTTTATTGCTTAAACATATTTAAAACTATCCCGTCCTTAAACTAGTATTTAGACAAAGATAACGAGGCATAGTGAAACTCGTTTTTCATTGGAAACAACAAGTGTACGTATGAAGCATTCATAATTGTCTACATAAGATGGTCCTTATACTCCTTTTAAGGTAAGAAAAGCTCTGGTTCAATTATAAATCTGCCTGAACTCTATTATAATGTTTGCTTACTATTTCACTATATTTTTTATGTTAATATCAAGTTTCAAAACTTGTCTCTTATCTTGTTATGACCCACTCAAGGGTACAACAGTTCTTGAAGAGCACGCTTTGGACCTTACGAGCAAATTGTCAAACTTTGACGGGCGTGCTGATCTGCACTTTATGTCGATATGGAGAATTTTCTCTAGAACATAGTCCAGAGGTAGAGGTAATTTATTTAATGGTTTTGTTAACTTTTTATTTTTTCAATATGAAAATAAATTTTTACCCACCTTACATTTTTAGAAATGCCACTGCATTTTTCTATAAAATAAATATGTATATATGAGCGAACTTTGGCAATGTACTTCATATATTTACTTACTGCCTTCGTTATACATTCTAAGTATAAAACTCGTCAAATTTTCTTCAACTTCTATTCGATATCGTCAATTTTGTGTTACTACTTCTGTGCTTGTTATAATATTTGCTATTGCTGGTGCCATTGCCATCTACTCGTCATTCATTTACTTACCACAGCTTAGCATACTTCCTGAATTGTGGACTGAACTCATGTGCAGGCATGGATAGCAGCATCAGCATTGAGAAATCTTTTTCGTACATTTGCAGAATTTTAGCTTACAAACGCAGCAATTCAATTTTATTAATATGGCGTAAATGTTTTTTTCTTTCGTTCGGTCCTCCACCATGTGGCTACGGATATATTTAGCTATATTTTTACCCATACAGGTGTGTGTATGTGCATATATTGCTTGTTAGTAGTTCTTACTTGTTTTTCATTGTTACATATTTATAGTGTTTATGCAATTCCTATTTTGTTCTTTTGTTTCCTCTTATTTTCCACTTTCTATAATTTCTTTACTTATGAAGCCATGTAGCATCATCATACGATGTCAGGGAGTTTATACCCTGTTGATGGCACAAAGTGCAATGCAATTCATTTTAATGGGTCGCCATCATTGCTGCAATTCACTCTGGTGCTGGCTGTAACTTTATACTCAATCACAAGTCTTCTTGGTCCATTTATTTATTTTTATTACTTCTGATATTTTTTTTTATTTCAGCATCTGCCGCCGTTCGTCACTTGAGACCCAATTTACGAAACTTGATTTCGCATTCCAACGATGCCATTTTCGAACTTCTGCAAAATTGCTTCAGTGATTTTTTTCCGCATTTTTACATATTAATTATTATTTGACAATGATTTTAAAACTGTAAATTTGACGTTTTAGCTGTCAAAAAAATTTTAAAAAAATAGAAAATAAATAAAAAGAGATAATAGTGAGTGGCGGTAACTAAAGTCACACATTCATAATATGTAGTTGTGGATATCTCACTATCCTTGTTGAGAAGCAATTATAATGTGTTAATTTACAGACTTCAACTAAATCCATCAAAATACTTTCTCAAAAAATTTATTTATATTTTTCTAAAAACCCTATCGATGTTGTTGTTGTTTGTTGTTGTGATTTGAGTTAGTGCTAATGCGCACTTTTACTCTATTGTGGGTGGGGGGCTTTTCCCTGCCCCACACTAAACTTTAACTATACTAGAATCATTATCATTTATTTATTTTCTAACTGATGACGGACCGTAGATCAGCATATCTTCCTCTGCGTCCTGAGGTGGACCTAAGGTTTGTTAGAGCGGGGTTGGGCAACTTTTTCACTGAGTCGATTCTTAGATCTCTATGCATGTCTGTTGTTCTAATATACCAAGGAATCTTAATTAGTCTTCTTAAAGCCAGATTTTGTGCTATCTGTAATTGCTTTATAGCAGTATTTGAGGCTTTGCTGTAAATTACACATCCGTACAGCAGTGCTAGCCTAATTATTTGAGTAAATAATAGCTTTCTATTTTTGAGAATGAAGCGATTAAAACCCTATTGCAATCGTCTTAAAAACCGACAATTATATGTCTGTTCTTTTTTTCTGTCTAATATTATTTTCTTAAAATGACTATCTCTCATCTTATTAATTAAAAACACTTATTAACTTAAAGCGTTCATCTTTAACATGATTTGAAGTAGCTTCACCAGTTCTTGTGAAATTTTCATTTTAATCCATTGATGGTTGTATTTATTACATTTTGTATTAGCTAATATTTAAAATTTCATTAAAGTACATTATTAAAAAAAAATTTTGGTTTATTCAATTAACTAAATAGATTAATGAAATCAAACAATTTGTTAAAAGTGAAAAATATTAAAAATTAATTCCCTCACTGTTGCATCTATCGCCACCAGCTTTATCGCCACCAGCCTTGTCAGTTCCTTGGTTGTCACCTCCAGACTTGTCCCCCTCGGAGTGTTCCTCGCTAAATTCCTCAGTGAATTCATCAGATTCATCGTCAATTTTTTCACCGCTGAAGTACAAAATAGCACGTGGTATAATTTCTTCTCTTATGAATTGCCCTAATTCATGATCGGCTGCAAGCAATTCATCAGTCTCATCATCGACTTCGTCGATATTGTCTGGTGGATTTGGTGGGCTAAAAAAACTGAAGAAGCTTTCATTGACTGTCGAATCCTTTTCGTCATCTTTTTCAGATAACTTCTTCGGCTTTATATCCAAAACATTTTTGCCTTCTTTCCAGTTAATGGTGCAGCCTTCACATTTTATTATGTCGGGCCCATCATAAGTGAAAGGGAAGTCCTCATCGAGGCCTTCACGTAAATAATAGGTCTTAGTTAGCACATCATTAGTGAAATATTCATTCTCATCGAAATGAAATTGTAATGTGAATGCATAAGTACTGTATGAAATAGTGATATCATTGAGGCACTTAAGGATGGGTTCATCGTCTTCGAAAATGAGATCAGAAAAACGTTCACATGCCTTGAAGGAAGTTATCCAAAAGTTTGGAATACCTTTGGTGTCCTCTGTAACATCCTTAAACGACTTAAGAATATTACCATAGTCAGTACGCATTTCATATTCGGTGGTTTCATCTTCATTGTTTTTCCACTTAGGATTTTCCTTGGGGGGGTCAAGTTTACCTATTTGAATACAAAATCATATTAAATTGTGCAAAGTAGAATGTTTCTACTCTACTATAAAATAATTTCAATATATAAATATAGATGAAATAAATACCATCTTACCTGAGATGATGTCTTTTCGTTTGCCATATAATACTTCGAACTTTTTGTGGTACTTGCGCTCCAAAGCAAATATTTCATCATAAAATTGCTTCTCAATGTTCAAGTGTTCCAATTGCAAGTTTTTCAAGACAGTAACACGAGCCTGCAATGCATTAGGCAGTGACTTCACCATTCCATGCAAAAACTCACGTCGCTCATTAGCACTGAGGTAACCAGGGTTGGTATTATCATCAGATGCTTGATCGCCATCACCAACAGGGCCACTCTGTCCACGGAAACTGACACGGTCCATAGCAATAGAAGGTATATTATTTATAAATAAAATAATATCCCAATAATGTAGTAAGCTAGAGCTTAAGTATCTGTAACTTTGTAGTGCACAAGTAAAAGCACACAATCGAATAAAGTATGAATCGTCACAATATGAAAATATACTCAGCTCGAAAAAATTGAAACGATTATCAGGAAAAAAAAAATTTATGTTTATAAAATATATTACATTTATTAAAGATAATATTTTTGAAAAATTTAATGCTTACTAAGAGTTTTCAGTGTTGTTGCCATAGTTATGTTTTTGCTTTCTAATATTAACTGTCATTAAAAGTATTAAACGTCATTAAAAAATCTTAAGAAAAAACAGTGGCTTTAAAGCTTTAATAGACTTTTGGGAAGCGCTAACGTTATAAGTGCCCGTGAATATATTCCCGTGATTTTGAGATTACCAAACTAGACATTGGAAGTTTGTAGTAAGTTTTTTTTTAAAATGAATATCAGAAAATTTTGTAATATTTTCAATAGAATGTTTTGTACACTTTTTACAATTCAATCAATTGTTGAATTGCAATTCTTGGTTTTAAAGACAAAATTAACTCTTGAGTTATCTATCTTCACTTTACGTTATCTCTTAAATCATAAAAACCTTAACTCTAATGACCCGAGGGTTTAAGTATAAATGTTTTAGTATCAAATCGTATTAAAATATCAAAAATGTGTACTACAAATTACATACCGACCATATGCCTACTTTAGTTAACATTACAAATTTGAGATAGCCCCACATGTTTTTCTCTCTTTCCTTCTCCAGCTAAGTCCTGTCTCTTTTTTAAGATTCCATTTTTACATTCCATTTGGAAAAGTCCAACTATGTCTGCAAATGTTTAGAAAGTTTGACTTTTAAAGAATTTAAAATTTTCGTTGGTTACTAATATTATTTTATTTTCTTCTTGATTCTTGATTCTTCTTCTTCTTGAGTTAGTGCTATTACGCACTTTTACTCTATAATGGCTGGGGGGCTTATCTCTACCCCACACTAGGCTTTACCTAGGCTAAAAAAAAAAAAACATATCATTTATTTGTCTTTTAGTTGATTACGGACCTTAAATCAGCATATCTTCCTGAAAGTCCAGAAGTGGACTTGAGGATTGTTAGGGCGGGGTTAATTAGCGTATCAACTTTAGTGTACCAATATGTATTTAAAGAAGTAGGTCCACATATATGCCTTCCACGAATCAACTGTAAAATCTAATTTTTCGAAAATCTCCTTCTAATAAATTCGTCTAACTAATAAATTATTTTAGCATATATTGAAGTACACCTTTTTTGGAAGATATCATAAATATAGTCCGTTAAAAAAACACCTATCATAATGTAAATGATATACGTATGTCTACGTCTAAATCTCTATAATCCCTATCTCTATAATGTCTGTAAGACATCTCTATAACAGGCAATACATATGTACATATTTATGTGCATTTCAATCTTCAAAACTTTTTTCATGGATACAGTATTTATTTTAAAATGTTATTTTAAAATGAATTTTAAATCCCAAATGTACTATGTTAAGCATAAGAAACTTCACATCAACGGAATTCAACACACGTCAGTTGAACCCAAAACTAAACATTAATATTTCGCAAACATACTACTCTTCTAGGTATTTCGGTGTGTAATGGTAATTTGCTGCATCAATTTCATTTGGTGGAAGGTTCATAAAGTCACATTCCCACACAAACTTACACTGAATGCTCTATTGTACTCTATTAGTCACAAAGTGCATGGTGTGTTTCATCGTCATCGTCTGCCAGAGTTTGTGAAGTGTCAACGTACACATGTCACTTCCGTGCAAAATACTTCCTTAATTACCACATGTAATGGTCTCAACTAAACATAACTGCAAAATACGTATGCTTCGTCACACCTCTCTCTGTTGCCTATATTTTAAATATCAGAACGCTTCATAAGTTGTAATTTTTGTTATCTTACCAACCAAGGATTTTAAGAGCCAATTCAGCCAACCACAATTAATTATGAGTTCTTATTTTATTATGGATTTTTATTTTCCATTCTAATTCATTTAAATTTCATCTGTTTTTTAAATACTAAAAATTAAGTATTTGGTTATGGTTTATGCAACTCTGTTGTCACATCCGAAACAAAGTGAAGAAGAATTACTCGTCGCCTCATTTTATGAGACAACAACAGAGCAAACCTATATATTAGAATGAATAAGACTGTTAACAATTCAAATATATATTTAATGGGTGATCCATCATTCAAATAAAATATTGTTGGTGAAAGTGGTTCTAAGCAATTTAATATTTTCTAAATATTAGGGAGAGAGTTTCTCTATAAGATTATATCTCTAATTTATTATTCAAATGTTAGTACGATATTGACTTGCTTTATTTACTATCTTTAACTATTTTCTGTAATCATCCTTTAAAGCAAGTCGCCTTGTGCTTTTTTCAATAAAAATCCATAAAATTGCTGAATTTAATGAGAGGCGTATACAGAGGTTCATTTGAGAGACGATTTTTTAAAACTAATTTAAGGGTCGTGTAGAAACATTTAATTAAAAAATATTCATTAGATATGGTGCAAAATAGTGCGGAATATATTTAGAGGATTAAAAAAGATAAAATATAAAAAATTTTTTATAAAGATAAAATAATAAATTTCATAATATACTAAGCCCTATTCGTTAAGATTCAAAAATCCCCGCTTAATATGATATTATTAAGTTCCACCTATAATATATTTCGCCGCCTCACTCACTAACACTTTACTCACTAAAAGAGTAAATTCTCAGATTACAATTAATTTAGGAATTTTTTTAAGATTCTTCAAGTCCTCAAGATTTATAGACTTATGACATAGAAATATATTTGTATATATTAGCTTAAATTATAATTTACTTGGTATAAAAATTATATGTCCATTTTATACAGTCGATACTTTACTGTTAAATTTGCAGTTAAAGTTTAGCTTCTGGGCACTACTTTCATTTTGAAGCATCTGATATCCTTATATTCATACATCCTTATAGAGTATGTCGTAAACCGAAATGTTCGATAACAATTTCGCAATAAACATACGCAAAATCCCTCGCACGTGTGTGGGGTAGAGTGTGTGGAGTCACTATTGAAGAGAGAAAACATCGTGCAAGTGCAAAAAGTTGGTAAAGTGTCTACCTGGTGCAGTCTTACGACGCAAGAAATAAACAAGAAACACCGGTTCATAAATATTTATGTGAGTTTTGGGAGCAACTAAGCGAATGGGATGAGCTTTATATGACGATGATGCTGCTGCTGTTAGTTTGAAATATACCATCATCGCAAGTTGGCACCTCGAAAAAAGCAAGAACTGAAGAACAACGTCAACAACATTTAAGAAAATTTCTATTGTACTATTCACGTCACACCTACAAACAATAGCGCCACTCCCAATGTCACAACTAAAGCTGCAGCTGCAGCTGCAGCTGCTTAACCAGTTAAATGTTTTTGGTTGTAGGACGCTTGTTCATATTTGTGTGAGCAGCATCCGCAACTAACAATAAGCAGCAGATTCAACATGAACAGGAACAATGGAAAGTACGTGTAATTGTATGTATCAAAAGTTTGCATTGCTTGGAGCACACCGCGTCAAGTGGCATTGGAGTAAATTTGGGACATTTGTTTGTTTCATAGTTTACCTGCGCCAGTGGGTAATGTTGCTGTTTGCTTCCGGTAAATGCAAACGTAAATGAATGGCATGCGAAAGTTGACAGAATGTATGTCAAGTTAACCATACTACTGCATGCAATCCATGAACTCATATAGGAGCTGTTCGCTACTGTCAATGCTAATCATGTACCACACATTATCGTTGGTATTAATGACGACGACTTCTATTTCTTTTTTTCAGTTGAACTCTTCCATGTAAGGCACAAAAAGCAAACATATAAAAATTCGGGGGGTTATAGTTCGAAGCATTTTATCATTTATCGCCCGCGATTTGTGGCTTCCCCTCGCTAACTTAAGTTTCTCTTCTTCATCATCATCATCATCCTCTTTGTTTGTTCCTTAACAGTTTTAATGTGGCTAAGGTGTTAGTAGATGTCATTGCCATGCACCGGAAAAGCTACTGACGAAAGTATGACGATGTACGAATTTTGAACGAAACTATCATTGCGTGTTGTTGTTTTTGTTGTTGCTTTGGTGGTGTTAGGAATTTAGGTAATGTGCTCTGATGCAAGTATTTTCAGGAGATTAATGCACCGGAAGCGTACTCACGCGTTTTTTTTTATCTTTTTGTGCAATCTGATAATACCTTGTATCTACGTTCTTGCGTTCGCCTCATTATTCTACAGAAATTTTCAGAACACCATATTAAAACTCTAACATAATAATAATATGTTTTGTTTGTGAGTTGAAAGTAGTTTGAGTTTCTTGCTTCAAGATAGTTGAAGATTTAAGCATTCAGTTCAGTACAATTTTATATATTATATATACCTATATTTTATAAATAAAGAACTTACCAATACTTACTTACCAATATAATGATTTGTTCATAATTCCTTCTTATTATGAAATTTTTAACCCGATAGGAGGGCTGCTTAATTTTGAATTTTCAAATTTCCAAACTTGCAATAATCAGCTAAGTCCTTTAAGAGTAAAACTTAGTGTGACTTTAGACTTACGATTTCACATCCCAATAGACAAACCATTGATAAGTTAAATAAATGACTTTAGAAAAATTTCAACATACATCTTTCGAAAACAGTACGAAAATGAAAGTGTTACCGTTAAGTTTTTCACGGAACAAAGAAAACTTAACAAAATTCAAATATATATTATTAATGAGCTTAATCAGTACATTAGTAGATTAGGTATTGCATTGTCCTTTTACCTGTTTGTCACTTAATGTTTGAACTGTTGAAGTGAAATTTCTAAGCCCACAAATAACTCTGCTGTCTGCTATCTTGACAGGAAATTTCATGTGCGTCAAAGAAATTATACCTTTGGTAGTTACCCCATTCTTGCTGATGCTCCGCAAGGATGTGTATTGAGACCTATACTTTACTCAATATACACTAGATACAATAGACAATAAGAACGAGAATTTAAAAAACACGCAAAATTTTAATTTTTAATAATTTTCTTTATTATCGCTTTCAAAGTACTCTCCTCCTGCGGCAATACATGCATGCCAACGTTGATCGAATT